AATTCCTCTTCTCCTTTCTATTTTTAAGGGGGAAATGGACCAGATTTAAATACTAAGTTCATTAAAGGTAAAGGTTCCCCTTGCACATTCCCAACTCTAGGAGGCGGTGCTTATCTCCATTTCAAAGCTGAAGAGCCAGCGCTGTCCAAAGACGTCTCCGTGGTCATGTAGTCAGCATGATTCAATGCCAAAGGCGCATGGAATACTGTTCCCTTCCCACCAAAGGTGGTTCCTGTTTTTCTACTTGCATTTTTTAAATGTGCTTTCGAACTGCTCGGTTGGCAGAAGCTGGGACAAGTCACAGGAGCTCACTTCGTTATGCGGTGCTAGGGATTCAAACCGCCGAACTGCCAACCTTTCTGATCGACACCTTGGTGTTTTAGCCACTGAGCCACCACGTCCCTCAGTATATTGCAGTGCAAGGAAAGGCTGGGCACAGAGTCTCCGAGATTCACGGACAGATCTTCACACTCCTGACATGAATCTAACGACCAAACAAATTGTTTCCTGCAAAAGCCCCCTCCCCTTTCGCTCCTCTTTTATTCCCTATGGGAGGGGCCATTCACCTTCCACCTGTGGCTTTACTCCCAAGTCGACCTTGATTTCTGAGTTGTTCTTTTCTTCCGGCAGCTTTGCACATGTGCACACTGGGAACAGGCTCCAGCTGTTCCTCTGCCTTGCTGCTGTCTGGCTCTGAAGGCAGCTGAGAACTGCCAGACGGCCTCAGCCCTGTCTCTGCCTCCTATGCAAAGCCCTTGTCCGAGCCTTCCCCAGACTCCAAGACTGGCCCATCTTCCTCCCCAACCTCCTCACTGTCTGACTCTGCTGCCAGCTCTGCTGGCGGGCCACAATAACATCTCCCCATACCTGCTTGTTTGTCTTCTTCTCGTACATCCTTCCGGAGGGACCCGTGTCCCTCGGCTTCACTTTGTTGGGCCTCTTCTCTCCACTGCCTTCCCTTCGGGCCTTGGTCCAGGGTGAAGACACAATCCTGGTCTGGCCTGGACAGCGGGGACATTAAGGAGATGCTCCCCAGGGATCTGGAGGCTTTCAGCAAAACAGGCAAGCGCGATTTCTTGGGCTGGTAGCAAGAGTTGCTCTGAACGAAACAACGAGACCAAGAAAGGATTTAAACGGCGCATCAAGAGGGACCGGGAAGGAGGAATCAAATACAGTTGGAGGGAATCCAGGACAAGCTGGGAGGGAGAAAAATGGGGTGCATTTTTGTGTCTGGGGATGTGGGGTGAGGGAAGGCGCACCCCAACTGGAGAAGAAGGAAGGGAAAACTCAGCCTTCCGGGGCTGCAAAACGGGAGAAAAATGTTTACCCGTTCACTCTCTTTTTTGTGTTTCTAATACAGGTAGTATACCATTTTGGACAAGTGATCACCCAGTCTCCTTTTAAAGGCCTCCATTGATGGAGCACTCACAACTTCTGGTGGCCAGCCATTCCACTGGTTGATTGTCCTTCCTGTTAGGAAGTTTCTCCTTAATTCTATGTTGCTTCTCTCCTTGATTAGTTTCTATCCATTGTTTCTTGTCCTGCCTTCTGGTGATTTATTATCATTTTATGATTATGATCATGATTGTCACTTGTTGCTTGCATATATTAGTCACCAGAGAAAAATTTCTTGTGTCCAATCGCACTTAGCAATAAAGAATTCTATTCTATTCTAATTTCTATTCTATTCTAATTTCTATTCTATTCTTATTTCTAGTCTATTCTAATTTCTATTCTATTCTAATTTCTATTCTATTCTAATTTCTATTCTATTCTTATTTCTATTCTATTCTAATTTCTATTCTATTCTAATTTCTATTCTATTCTAATTTCTATTCTATTCTAATTTCTATTCTAT